CACCCAGTCCCTTACAACTGGATAAATGCAAATTACCATTGACTCATGGTTTAAAAGAAATGTAAACTACCCTGCTTTCCTCCTGTTTTGATCTCAGATTTTCCTGGGAAATTTATTCTTGCGGACATGTCTTCGTTGGAAAATGACAGGCCTAGTAGGAGAATAGAGTAGGTATAGCCAAGACCGAATAAAAAGTCAAGTGTGGGCACAACCAGTGGGGAAAAGAACTGAAGCTTGATGAACAGATCTTAGGCCTGTAGAATACTTTCAGTTTATTCAGATTTTAAAATGTCTTTTATCTGTGCTGCATAGTCAATTTTGGATGCATGTGAAAGAATTTATGACCTCAGAGGTAGTATTTAGTCTCGTGGAATCAAGGAATGTAAGAGCCAGAAGGGACATTAGAGATCATAATCCTGTGACCTCATATTACAGAACGGTCACTGGGGCTAAATGAGCTGGCTAAGATGATAAATATGGTTGTGGTTGTTTCAAAGACTATAAACCATGTAAACCAATAACAAAAGTAACCAATGACATGTCTTGTTTGATCAGAGCAGTAAATCCACCCACTTAAGAGTCATATCTGGGGAGAAAAGACAACCATTTTGCCATCAGTACTAAGGGTGAATGAAGAAAATAAAATGGCTGCCTATTAAAGTAAGGGTATGTGTAATAGTTAATGTCCAAACTGGATTTATTCATTTAACTATGTGCACTTGGGTGTCAGTTATGTAGCAGGGTGGAAGGGTGGAAGAGTGGAAGGGAAATAAGATAAATGCCCGGAAATTCTCAGCCAGTATTTGTCCAAGTATGTGCTGTCAGGATGAGCTACGTCAAAATCTCCCAGGAAGCTTGTTACAGTTCAAATTCCAGGGGCTTGCCCTGGAACAACAGGGTAAACTGTTCTGGGGGGAAGATCACGGGGTGTGCAGTGAATAAACACTTGAGGTGATTCCAATACAGATGGCTTGGAGATGTCTGCAAGAAGTACTGTTTTAAGTTAACATCAGAGAAGATAATGACATCATAGCAGTAGTGTCCTATAAGCATGAGAACAAAAGATATTCAGAACAAAGCATGATGATGATCCTGCTGGAATAAAAGTCTGAGATATCTGGGTTTTTTATTCGTAAATCCATCAACGGTAGAACTTTGGGTTTGTTGTTTTACCTTTTGTGGCCCCATTTTATTCACTTTGCAATGAGAAGCTTTCAAAAGATTTTAAGCAGGAGAATAACACAATATGATTTATATTTGCTGCTGAGTAAATATAAATATAAATTCTTATATAAATATATATAAATACATATTACTATATATATGTTCTATAAGTAGAATATATGTTCTATATATGTATATATACATATGTATATATGGAACATATATATGTATATGTAGTATACATATGTATGTATATGTAGTATACATATGTATGTATATGTATAGTAGAACAAAAGTGGACATGGCAAATAAGTTAATATGCTATTGAAATAGGCTAGGCAAGAGGTGCCTGGATGGCTCAGTCTGTTAAGTGTCTGTCTTTAGCTCAGGTCATGATCCCAGGGTTCTGGGATCCAGCCCAGCATCGGGCTCCCTGCTCAGTGGGGAGTCTGCTTCTCCCTCTCCCGCCACCGCTGGCCCATTCTCTCTCTCTCTCTCTCTCTCAAATCAATCAATCAATCTTAAAAAAAAAGAAAGAAGAAGTAAGCTAGGTGAAAGATAATGGTAGCTTAAAATAGGTTGTTGACTATAATTAGATAGTGGGTGAATTTTTTTCATTTTGTTAGGATTAATGATGGATTGGATATCAGCTATGAGGAAGAGGGAGGTGTCAAGGATGACCCATGAGGTTCTGGTTTGCAAAGAATGGTTGAGATTTTAAGGGTTATGTGTGATTTCAGGTGATTGAGCATGATGTCCAGATTAAGTAGGTTGGGGCTAAAACCTAGGAAAAAAAGGGGGACATCAAAGGATTTCAGGTCTCCTGGAAGTCAAAGGGCAGATAAAGTCAGACTAGAAGAGCTGGGAGGATGGGAGCCTGTGGACAGAGTGTGGGGTACTGGTGTATGTGATTTCCATGGTGGATCACTTCTCCCTGATGATCAGGTCTGGGTTAGCCGTGAGCACAGCAGGCTGAGGTGGAGTGGATGTGGAGGTCAGTAGAGTTGGAAAGGACAGTGAGCTAATAGTGCAGGATACTGATTGGCTAGTTTGGGCCTGGAGAGGACAACTGTGACTTAGGGTCCAAAATCATCTGAGCTTGGGATAGTGACCTAATCAGTAGATGAAGATAAATAAAGAACATGTCGAGGACAGGGACTTTAAAGAAGCTGGAGCTTTTTATATGAGTGGAGGAGAAATAATAGCTTAGAAGCTGCACTGGGGAGCCTTTAAAGAAAATATATTCCCCTTTGATATTCGGATTATGGGAGAATGAACCCCTCTATATTTGAGAAAGTAGGTTTCTGTTTAAGGCAGGAGTTGTGAGATCAAACAAAGAAGCTTTGTCAATGGAAAAGCACAAACGGGCTGTCATCTTGTTTGGGTTCCAGGAGTAGCACTTTACACTTTTCATTATTAAAAGTTTCATTTTTATGAATACTGAAATATTTATGGATGCACACTAGGATGTCTGGGATGTGCTTCCAAATAATATGGGGCTGATGGGCACAGGTGATAAATGAAGCAAGATTCACTACACATTGATAATGCTAAAGCCCAGTAATGGACACATGGAGTGGCCTTGTCCTATTCTGTTCTGTGTATGTTTGAATTTTTCCTTAAGAGAAGTTACAGAAACCTCATCCTTATAAATTCGTCCCATTGTTTCTGACTGGTACCTTTTTATGTTCTCATTTTATGAAGCTCTCTTACTCCCTCTCCATGAGGTCCACAAATACGAGTATTTATCCCCATTTTACTGATAAACCTCTCTGATCCTGGTAAGGGACTTATCCAAAGGTAAACAACTGTTTAGCTGCAGATTTAGGACTAGACGCCCATGTTATTTCAACTACTGGACCAGTACACTACATTCTACCACCTAATCAGGGAAGCTTGTAAATTTCCATTTAGAGGTGTTAAAATTCGTAGTTCTCTCAGGCCTTTGGTCTTGGAAACAGTGGTCTTCATTTGATCACAGGTCCAACAAAGTAACATTGTCTTTGCACATACCATTCCTTCTGCATGGAATGTTCATCCCCATTCCCTAGTTCACCAGGTTAATGCCAATACATCCTTCAAAGCCCCCCTTAGACCTCCCCGCCCCCTACACACATTCTCTGTGCCATCCCAGCAATCATTCTGTCCTTTGCACTAGTTCTGAATCTTGTTCGAACTTTTTTCATTTCATATGCCAGAAAGAATTGTAAATGTAGGTATGCGCATGCATATGTGTCATTTTCTCTAGTAAATTAGAACCATGGGCTATGTTTTTGTTCTTTTTTTTTTTTCAACTCTGGGGCCTTTTACATAATGGCAACATCTAATACGCAGTGAGATTCCACAACTCATATGTGCCTGAAACCATTGGTTAGAGGTATTCAGCAAGAAAAAACCCATGGGAGCCTAAATAAATACCTTGGATTTGGCCAGCTCGTGCATCTGAGTATTTGTGGCGTGGTATGAAATTTTGGTGTCATTTCTTTTTTGGAAACTAAGTCCTGTCCTCCACAGGTCTTCACTCAATTATCATGGTGATAACCAAGTAATTTAGAAAGTATTCTAAAACTAAATCACACACTTTTTTCCTCCCATAAAAACCTCCCTGCAGGAGAAGAGGGAGGTGAAGAAGGTGGGAAGCAGCAGGTGTTTTTTTGTTTTTTTCCCTGCAACTATGGAACTCACATAGCCTGCAAATAGCTTCACAGTAGGGAGGCCCACAGCAAGGGGAGATGAAGTACCCACACAGATGATCAGATCAGTTATAATACCAGCTAATTCTACAAAGCTCCTACAATGTAATCTCAGTCACTTTTGAAGGAACCTGTTTCTTTCTCCCTGCAAATGGCTGCTCATTAAGAACTGGTCACAATATACTTCTGAAAAAAAAATGTTTCACAGAGCTTTGTAAGGTGCGGTTGAGGGCACCTGGGTGGCTTAGTGAGTTAAGTGACTGCCTTCGGCTCAGGTCATGATCCCCGAGTCCTGGGATAGAGCCCAGCATCAGGCTCGGGCAGGGAGCCTGCTTCTCCCTCTCCCCCGCCTCTCTTCCTTTCTCAAATAAATAAATAAAATCTTAAAAAAAAAAAAAAAGATGGGTTCACTTAAAGCCATCTTCATCCCAAAAAAGAGGAGTGGGCTTTCATACCTAGTGTGACGTTTCCAATGCATTCATCATAAATATGGAAGGAATGTAGCCCGACTTCATTATAACAAATCAAATCTAGAGTTTAATGAATTCTATATCCCCTTCCCATACATTTTGCAACACCCATCCAGCCAATTTCCCTGTAAGAAGTGTCATTTCAAAGCCCGTGGGGGCTCTTACCCTTTGCAGTCAGGGTGGGACCCAGTTGTAAACAGGAGGTGCAGGGAGGGCAGTGGAAAGGCAGCTTTAACATTTTCGGTGAAAAAAGCCAACTTGTTTGCGGTTTTGATTTGCTTTTAATAACAAGCTCCCTCAACCAAAACTGATGAATTGGCATAAGAACAAGGGTACAAAAGAAACATCAAGGGGGCCTTCCAAATTGCTAACTAAAGGATGAATTCTCTGCTTTGGGTGGCCATCATTTTATCCCTCAGAAATGGGAGATAAAAAGATGCAAAGCTTTTAATATATGCTGCCCGAATACAGAAAGGAACCGATTAGAGCATGTGGCCTGTGGTGTTGTCTTAATACTTTATAATCACACTCCATACTTTAAGCAAATGCAAATTCTGTTGCTTGCTGCCCTTGAAAGGCAATTTCACTGCATACTAAATTCAAAGTGATCACCCATACAGTGTAAATAAAGCCTCTGTTGGGTAAACACCAAAACATTTTCCACGCGGCACTACATTTTAAAATAGCTAACTTTATTGTCAGTGAAAAGAGAGGCACAAAGTGGATTCAAACCTGCTTATCTTTATTGGAACTAGCTCAGTCGATTACAGAATGGGGTCTCAATCATTATGGGGCCACATACATTTTAAACCGAAGGTGCTTCTTCTCTAGCCATCTGCCAACCCCAGCTATCCATCTTATAAACACATGCCATTAATCACAAGGGAGGCCAGAAGGAGGTTTGACAACTCCATGTAACCATCGTTGCTACTGGAAAATATAAACTCCCGACACTTGTCCTACTGATGATGAATGATACTTGGGAGATCTCTTTCCAAGGATCATGGCGGGCTGAAATAGATGGCAATTAGCCCATAGCTGATGCCTTCCTTTGACAATATGTTCAGGAAGAAAGCACACATTTGAAGTAACACATTCCATATGTGAAATGAGTAACTGAGATAACAGGAGATTGTATGGCTAACAGACATGAGAATATCATTTATAAAAGTTAGTCCGTATGTATGCACTTTAAGCTGCCGCATTCTGAGTGTTTCGACTGTTCCTAAAAAGTAGTTTGCACAGTCACTTTGTTCATTTTCCAATCGTTGTACCCACCCAATTGCGTAACAAGAGAACACTCGGTATTTCCTGCAACAGATGATGGCAGATATCTCAGGTTTCTGCTATCCTATCATCCCGAAGCTCAAAAGCAGCATGGAAAATAAATCCTTCATTGAAACAACAATCCAGATACATGATTTTAAAAGAACATTCAAGCTCCTTTTATTTAATAAAAATCGTTAATAGGAGTTTTATATCAAGTAAAGTTCGTTCTAATGAAGTTTTTCTGTACATGGGACATTGGGGTACAATTGACTTGAAAGGTCCCCAGAGGCCACCGGGCAGTACACGTTAAGACAACAAGGTCACCCTTCTGTCCTGAGGTGCCGGTAAAATGCATAGATAAGTGGGAGTCCACAAAGATCCCCCAAATGTTACATATCCACACAACTGTGAAAGGTGACTAACTTGACGTTTTTCCCATAAACCTGAAATTTTAAAAGGACACCTATTAGAGATTTTCTGAAAAGGCTGAATCTACCTTCCTCGTAAACATAATACACTGACATGGACTTCCTCCATCTCTTAGATGTACGGTATTACTTTAGCCAATTACCAGGGAGTAAAAACTGAGCCAAAAAGGACTGCCTCTGGTGTGAGGGGGCAGACATGCGGCGGAAAGTTCAAGGTAGCACTCAGCCAAGAACTTCTTCCTTTCCCAAAATTACATGAGTCTAAAGAGATGGCTGCCACACAGCGTGGAATGTATGACATTTGTCACCTTACAGAATGTGATTAGAATGATGGCTCCCAGAGCTAGCAAAAATTCTGGCAATGTGTGATAACCATAAAAGGAGTAGATGAAAGGTTTAAACTTATTTGGATTTTTTTATTTGGCTAGAAAGTAGCAGTCCCAAAGTTTGCTACCTGTGGCTTCTACTAGTTGCGGACTTTCCCCCTTATGACTAAAGGGGAGTATGAACCAGTATTAACACAACTGCGCTTTTAATTTCTATTTGGGATTCACTTGCTGACAGAGGACTAACGCGTAGGATGATCACTTCATTACTGAAATGTCAAGACTGGCTGAAAATCACATCAGTCTCCCTCTTGTCTCTCCCTCCACCCCACAGAATGATCCCTACGGAAGAGAATCAGGAATGGCGCAAAAATACTGTTAAACAGGCCACCATTCCTGTGGTCACAGAGGAACCCTGTAAGATGATCTGAGGCAGTCAATCCACAGCAAGAGAAGAAGTGAGGTCGATTTCTTTGAGGTTGGGGTGGGGAGAGTTTCATGTGACTCAGTGTTGAGATGAGGACCAGGACAGGGAAGACCTTGCAAAAGGCACTGCAGGAGAGGCAAAGTAGGAATTCAGAACCCTGGACAAACTACTCAAGCCAGGAACGTTTTACAAAATATGTATGCCCTGGTCTGACAAGATTCCTTTTCTTAAAATGAGGCTTGCTGTAGATAAGTGTTTCTCGAAAGAAGCATGGTAAAATGGAAAGCTGTGTTGTTGTGTGATCTTGAAAAAGTCATGTAACCTCTCCGGGTCTCAGATGCCTCATCACTAAACTTGAGGGTATAGGGCTCTACTGCTACAGTTCTTTCCAGCCACTATGCCTCACAACGTAATATATCAGGCCTACTCTTCTATTAATCTGGTTTCTAACTAACACATCCCCAAACTTCTACCCCCCACCCTTACCTAACACCCCCCCACTTCCCTCACCCTCCCATACCCCTGAAAACTGATCTTAATGACATTGTCGGCAGATTTGTCACCTTAATGAAGGGCAGAGAGGTGACACAGAGCAGGGACCTGTGGCAAAAAGCAGCTCTTTCGTCCCTTGAGGCAGCCCCATGGCAAAGCTTGGAGCCACAGTCTCCTTGGTCCCTGTCCACATGCACATTTCCTGCTGCTCTCCGAAGGTATTCTGAGACGGAGTCACTGGCAGTGAGAAGGGATAACTAAGGACACATCTGCAACCCACCTCTCCCTCGGCTGCAGCATAGTACTTTGGGTTTCTGATGCTATTCCCTCGGAGGTGAGAGTCAATGATGCCTTTTAAGACGTATGCTAAGAATTGGGGAAAACAAAAGGAGTTATTTCAGAGGAGTCCCCAGAAATTCAAAGCATTCAGCCCATCACTGAAAATGCTTCCTGGTTTTGCCAACGATTGGAAATTTGAGACTGGTGACACAGCCAGTGAGTTCATGCTGGAGAAGAAATAAACACTAAGCAGACTGGTCTCAGGAAAGGCAAGCGAGCTGTGTTCATGGCCGCACACAGCACTTCAAACGACTCTCCATCAAGGCCTCTGATGGTCTAACTCCCTAAGAAAGAGGAAGTTGTACATCACACAGCTAATTTACTCTCCTAGCATCTGAAAGCAATATATTAATTATCCAAATGCATAAATTACTCCAGAGTATATATATGAATGTATGAACCTCCATGAGGGAACCAAAAGAATCCACTTCCAAAGCACCACTGAAATGAAGATAAACACAATCTCCTGGTACAGGGCAACTGGGAAATTGGGAGGGAAAATTAGCTCCAGCACCCTTCCACACCCCCAAATTCCCTGCCTTTTCTCTAGCTTACACAGCTTCCAAAACTATTCCCTTTCATGAGTCAGAGCCGTAGAGCTCTCTCTCTCTCGACGCTGTGTAGATGGTAAGTATACAAAACAGCACACGTGCAAATTCTCTCCAGCTTCCCACTTCTGAACTACATGTTACACACTGTCTTCCAAACGTACTGTGCTCTCCAAAATGCTAAATAAAATTATGCACATTGAAAACATTCATGTATAACCAGCTATTAACAGTCCAAGTATTTGTATAATTCCAAACAGTAAACTTTAGAGCACATTCTGATAATCGGTCTTTAGAGGTACTCTCTAAGTGTGTACCAGAATAGACTGGAGTTTGTATGGTATTACTTAAGTACTAGGTCGTTTCAATAAAAAGTCCCTTTAAAAAACATCCCCCCCAACCCTTGTCCTCACCCTCAAAATAAGAACAAACAAAAGGGAAAAATGATTGAAAGCACTCTCGCTGATAAACTGCAGCTCTCGAATACGCCGTTTAGATGAGATATTCCACCATCTCTGCATCAGGCTCTTGTCCCAGGATCTGAATGGGAGCTTTTCTTTCCAGAGTATTGGAGTGGAACACAGGGCCATCTAAATGGAAACAGGGATTGGAAAGCACTTAGAATAAGGTAAAGCCGCAGATTCCTAGAAATAGACAGCTTGGGAGCCATGAAGCCAATGGCGAAGTGAGACTTGCCTGCCACCCTCTCCCACTGTTCACCTGAGCATTTACTTCTACTGAAGAATGGCTTTGGCTCATCCCTGTTCCTATCCCGGTGTCCCAAGGAGTCATCTACAGACTCTGCACTTACGTCTTGTGATCAATCCCCTTTGAGAACATGAACAACTCTGGCCAAATGACCAACAGTGTCTACGCAGCAGGGTGCCAACAAACAACCTGTAACTGAGGGCAGAACCCGAAGAATCTTTACCTGTCTTATCCAGATTGCAGGTCAGACTTGGTACAGACAAACGACGTGACCCAGAACTGGCAGCCAGACTTGCAGAAGCCTCAGCCTGAGCCAGAGCTGGAGCTGGAGCTGGAGCTGGAGGAGCAGCCGCAGCCGGAGCTGGAGCTGGTGCTTGAGTCTGAGCCGGAGCAGAAGCCTGAGGTGCTGTTGGAGTCGGAGCCGGAGCTGGAACCGGAGCCGGAGCAGCTGGAGCAACCTGAGCAGCAGCAGTGGGAGCAACAGCCGCAGCGGCGGCAACAGCAGAGGCAGCGGCTGGACTCTGAGCAGCAGTAGCTGGAGAAACAGCAGCAGCGAGAGCAGCAGCAGCAGTTGCCGGAGATGGGGTGGCGACAGCGGCGGTGGCAGCAGCTGGAGCGGCAGCGGCAGCAATCGGAGCAGCGGCTACCATGGTGATGGTGTTGTTGGTAGCAGCGGCGGCAGTGTTGGTGGCAGCGTTGGCAGTGATGGTGGCAGCAGTGGCGGCGACAGCGGCTGGCGTAGGAACAGAGATTGGAGCGACAGCTGCGGTTTTGTTCGGTTCTGTACCCCGCTCCGTTTGGGTGCTGCAGTCTCGGCTGCCTGTCTTGGAGTGAGCCGAGAGCAGGGGAGTGGAGGGCGGCACCGGCGATGGTGTGGAAGGGACAGACTCAGTGCGGTAGTCTCCACCCAGGAGAATACCTAGGAGGGAAAGAGGGAAAGAGGTGAGAGAAGTACAGGCTCTTCAAACGCAGACGTCTGGATGCCTCTTCTCTCCTGCAGAAGGTTCAGGAGAAACTTTCCCTGTGCCTCTAGAGAATCCAGGAATTGGTTTGGCAGGCACATCCCTCCTGGTCCTGGCTCTCCACCCCAAAACAAGGTATGAAACCTTGAAGTGTCAAGAATCTGTTTTATTTTTCCAATGGCAACTCATTTCCAGCAAGCTTTCAGAATGCTTCCACTCAGTTCCACTTATCGCCAACATCATTTACCACCAGGCAACTGGAAAGGATTGGGGGAAGAAGTCTGTGGTCATGGATGAGGGTGATAATAATTGTGCAACCGGAGGTTCTAATCCTGACCATGATCCCCAGAATGCCTCTTCTACCCAAAGGACACTGCAAGTGTCAGAGGACCAAGAAAGGTATTAGAAGCCACAAAGAGACCTAAAATAAAAATACAAAGTGGGCTTTCTCAGGCTTTAAAAATGTGCCTCGTGGTATCTACGATATTTCTGGGGTTTTGTTTAGAGGGGAAGGAATGGACAGGAATGGAATGAAAAAGTACATTCAGTTCTCATCTCAAAACACCTGGCTCTATTTAGCTTAACTAGAATTCTGAGTCCTCCTATTCCGTGGGAGGAAAGAACAGAGAAAATGTGAAATTTTGAGATACTGACTGACGTGAAAGACACATGGGCTTTGGACAAAGACAAAGGGTCTCACTTGGCAAGGCCAGATCTGAGAATTTTTAAAAGGAAACTGAAGTTGTCTTCCTTCCCACCCAAACAGAACTCAGAATTCTTATCTTCTAAGGCCTTGGTTTCAACCAGTATTCTCTCAATGACACATCAAAGCGTGGAGGAGCTCCTCTTAGGAGGACAGAAACCCAACCTGATATATCATCCTTTCTAGATTCTGGACCATCACTCCTATTCCTTGCTGAGTGGGCACATATCTAAGTCAGGGCTCTCCTTAAATGCGTCATTTTAATCTTATTTACTGTCATTACCTAGGCTCCCCTTCCAGCTCTTGTCATCCCGCTTCTCCTCCATGATGGGGTTGCCAGTCAGGGTGGAAGAATGTGAGAGCAAGCCTGACCCAGCATTGGAAATGGACATCAGAGACTTTGCAGGTCGCATGGATGACAGTTGCTCTGTCTTACTTGGCTCCTTCCGGGAACGCTGCTGGAGTACTTTGATCATGGCATCCTTCTCAATAATTTGGGCATGGAGGGTCTTAATCCTAGCAGCCAAAGACAGAGAACATATAAAAACGTTGTTGCCACCTCCATGTTATGGTCTCACTGCCTGCATGGACTTGAGCTTCCAGTATCTTTTCGACTGAAGAGTGGTTTAGTTATTTCTGGGGTGTAAAGTAAGGGAAGGTGTGCAACATTTCTTAAAATGCCCTTCTTAATACCTAGATGAGTATAGCAGAGCATCCAGGACATGTTTTAAAAATTAGGAAGCCAAAGTAAGGTCATGGTGGAAAAGAAGACTGTATATGAGAGAGTAAACTGATGTAGTGGGTGCTGAAGTGAGCAATCTGAGTCAATGGGTGATGTATTTAATGAAAAGATGAGAACTATGAATGGGCCACAATTTCAGCTAATAAGTAAATGATCATGAGTTTATAAAAGGTATCGGGTACCCTACCTCCAAGTTGGAATGGATATTCTCTTACTGTGCATTCTGCTGTATCACAGGGTTGAGGTCCAATGCTAGAAAGAATACCCCAGAGTGCAAATACCAGCAATAAAGTTCTGGCAGAGGGAAGATGGAAAGCAATTACCAAGGCTGATGGGAACAGCCAGGTAAAAGTCATTGCATTTCAAATACCAAGTAAGAGGCTGGCAGGGGTGGAGGGGTTGGGGGAGGCTGCATTATCAGGCTTCCCGGTTGTGAATAAAGATGCCTGCCCTTCCCTTCTGACCTATCTGGTCTCGATACATTCTTCTCTGATCTACCAGGGTCCAGATCGGGATTTTTACCTGCCCTCCATGTCAAGGCAGCGCTTGTTGGCCATCAAGATTTCTTCCTCCTCTTTCTGGATGCGAGCTTCCAAGGCCGTGTCATAGCTGGTGTTGGGAGAGTGGCTGATGACTGTTGTGTCCCTGAGAAGGAAGATGGCAGTGATGATGATGACAAGGCAGCAAAATCAATGAATCGTATCAACTTCATCTCAAGTCAAAGGTATTGCTGGAAAGCAGTAAGCGATAGTCAAACTCATTAGGAATGGTCGATTTCTGGATGACTTACTGAGAAGAACCTCCAAGATGGGAAAGCACAGCTTTCAGAGTTAGAAGAGGTTTTTGGCATGAGTACAGCTGCAGAAGTCAGTGAGGGATTCTACATGAGGAGCACAGGCCTGCCTTCAGAACTAGACAGATAGCCTCCCAAAGCCTTCTGGAAGAGTCCCTTTGAGGTTTTTGATCATGGCCAGGTAATAGGAAGATATTTGCATTTCCACTTTATATTATTATTTATATTACATATAAGACAGTGTAGATTTCCACCTTATTCTCATGACAGTTATAAATGGGAAAAGGCTAGACTTTGCTGAAAGACAGAGAATGTACCAGACAGTTACTGCTACAGATGTATAACAACAACTACACCGACTGCTAGAAACAAACTAGAGACACGTCAACAGTGAAGGTCAGACAGAGCGTGTGAGCTGACTAAGAAGTAGGGCCTTTGAGTCAGTGCCACTTAATTCCTATCTGACCTACATCAGAAACATTCTAGTGCCAAATCAAGGAGTCTCTTCCCCAAATACACTATTGGTCTCTTGCCAGAGTCCCAATTGCACGAGGCACCACCCAGTTTCATCTGAAAGTGTCTCAGGCCATTAACTCAAAAGACTAAGTAATGAGTAAAGTATGTGTGTGTGTGTGTGTGTGTGTGAGAGAGAGAGAGAGAGAGAGAGAGAAGGAGAAGAGGGAGTGGGGGAGTAAGAAGAAGAGGAGGAGGAGGAGACGCTGCTGGGGAGAGGGTCTAGCCCAAGGACAAGGCTGATGTCTAAACAGCACAAGTCAAAGATATACAGGAATCCTGTATTGTCCTGATAAATGAGGTCATGCATCCTTCTTTAGTGCATTTAGAACTAGTGGTAGAAAAGAGGGAAGGGAATGAAGAAAACTAGATCTTCCTTGAATCACTTGGAGGGGAAAAAAAGGGATTAGGAAGAATATTGATGTAATTATATGGGTCTTCAAGGGAAGCCGACAATAGACCAAGAAAACAATGAACTGGCACAGCTTCATTATACTTCCTTTGAGAATGAGGATCTGTGGGAGAATTTTCTGCTGGCAGCTAGCTGTGTTCTCTTAGCTTAGAGATTGTGACCAGTGCAGATGGGAAGGAAAGGGCAGGGGAATGAAGAGGCAGAAAGTTGGTATTAAAGTTAGGGAATTTGGGTGAGTTTCTATAAACCTACTGCTTCCCCAAATGCTTGCACTTTACATGCAAGGCTGAAACAATGTACTTGAGTGGTGAAATAATTGGGAGACCAAGAAGCACAAGGACTACAGTGGCTCACGTCAATTGCTAAATCTGAAACATTTTAGCATCTCAGAATTCCACACTTGCTCTGGTGAATTCACCTGCTTCCAGTCCCATTGCGGATGGCTCTTGTGTTCCAAAGTACCCAAGGGGAAATGGCATTGTGTAGGTGGAGAACACAATGGCTCTTACTACAGACCACACCAGGGTCAAATCCCACTTTCTCGAGTACTCTGCCACTAACAAATTCTATGAGCCCAGGAAGTCAGTTAACTTCTCGAAATCTCAGTCTCCTATATGCAAGATAGAAATCATAATTATACCTCTAATCTTGTGGCATTTTGGGGGGATGAAGTCAAAGTATGCATGTAAAAGACACAGTGCCAGGCACAATAAAAACATTCAATAAAGTTACCTACTACCTAAGAGAGAAAAGTACATAGATAGAAGGGAGAGTAACATACAAGAGAGTGTGACTCTAAAGAATTCCAGTTCTGGGATTATATCCCGAAGGCAGTTCCTACAGCGCACAGTTCCAATGGAATGGCTGCTTCAGAGCCAGGCCTCTCTAGAGAATTCTTGGTGTCTATGGACACTGGGGACATGAGCGTACGGTTTGTCACTGGGGGAGCCAATGCTGGCTTACTGCCACTTTCACTGCATAAAAGACCATTTTGGGGACTTAGAGCCCTGCCAGCTAATTGATATGGACACTGTGAGCTCCTCAGGAATGGAGCTTGAAAATGTGGGACACTTAGTGAATTCCTACAGAGCTGCCAGGATGCCCTTCAACATCAATCTTCCTTCTAGAAGACTGGGACTACTAAGCCAATGGTTCAGGCAAAAAGCAAGCAAGCACAGTGCTGGAAGGAGCAACTTGACCTGCTAACTTCCAATACTCTGAGACAATCCTTAGGCACATCTGCAATGAGCTCATGTCTTGAAAACACCACGTGTATACTCCAAAATACAGATCCCCAAATTTGACATCCTACATCTAAATTCTTAAGTAAAGCAGTTTCTGGTGACCCTCCCCCTCTCTCATCTCTCATCCTCTCTCCTTCCTTTCTCCAATGAAGTTATCCCTATCCTGTTGCCGACATTGTTTTCTCGAATGTCACCCATTAATTCCTCATTAAAACATCTAGTGTTTTAAACTTTTACACTTCAGGGCACTTGGGTGGCTCAGTTGTTAAGCGTCTTCCTTCAGCCCAGGTCATGATCAAGGAGTCCTGGGATCGAGCCCCACACTGGGCTCCCTGATCAGCTGGGAGGGCTGCTTCTCCCTCTCTCGCTCCCCCTGCTTATGCTCCCTCTCTCGCTGTCTCTCTCTCTGCCAAATAAATAAATAAAATCTTAAAAAAAAACTTTTACACTTCAAATCCATCTTTTCTTATTGATAGCATCCTTTTGTTTATTTAATATGTGAACTTGACCATGAGTGGGGCACTGTGTTTGAAGTTACTGTGATGCTACAAAGTGGCTAGACACGCATAAGACTAGTCCTTGACTGCAGGAGACTTGCAAGTCGAGGAGAAAAAAAAAAAATACAGGTAAATAATTAGTTATTACAGAAGTGAGTTTGAATTTTATTCCAACAGGCACTGAAAACCATTAGACATTTTTGATGGGACTGAGATGATCCAAGCTGTGCTTTAGAAAGATAGCATTCTCTCTGGCCAAAATGTGATGGGGAGTTGTGAGGGAGGATACACTGGACTTGGGCAAACCAGTCAGGACGGTTAGTGTAATAATCCCATCCAGAGATACTGAAATCATGAACCAATTCAACAGCAGGGAGAATGGAACAGGCCATAGGAGGCAGAATTGCTACAACTTGGAGACTATTTAAAGGTAGCTGTTGGAGAAAGAATGAATGAGAACTTTGGTGTTTCTAATTCAAATGCCTAGAAAAGATGGCATACCACTCACTTTCTGTGCTAGGAAAGTAAGGAGAGATCTCTGGGAAAACATTATAATGTGTCTTGATTTTTAGTTACATTGGAGTTAATATGTCTTATGAATAGCCATATGACAATATCCAACAAGTTGTTGACAATTCTAACTTTAAGGGATGTCAGACTTACTATTTGAAGTTGTAATAGAGAACAAGATAACTAAGACAGAAGGCAGAATGAGAAAGCCAAGGATGGAAACTGAGGAAAGCCTACAAGGAAGGGATAGGTAGGCATGTATAATGTGTGCAAGCAGCTTCTACCTCCTGTTTTCTCCTTCCTTCCTTCTTTCCCAGATTTACAGCACCCAAAATAAAAACAAAACATTGCATGTTTGGAGAAGGTTAACAACCTAATTCAGGAAATGCAAATTTATAAATTGCAGAGCTGATCAAGTTTGTTATCTTTTTATCCTTTTGCTGCTATTCAGAAATATATTCACCATTTGTGAACATCAATCTGCACTGCCAAATCTGTTCTTCTAGGATGAACTACTTGGTAATAATTTCCCTTATCTATATTAAGCACCTAGAGAACCTCTAGTTGCACAACAATATGGGATTATAATTTGGGCCATATTATTGTGATTATATATTGTATTTTTTAAAAGATTTTATTTACTTACTTGACAGACAGAGATCATAAGTAGGCAGAGAGGCAGGTAGAGACGGAGGAAGCAGGCTCCCCGCGGAGCAGAGAGCCCAATGCGGGGCTCGATCCCAGGACCCTGAGATCATGACCTGAGCTGAAGGCAGAGGCTTTAACCCACTGAGCCACCCAGGTGCCCCTATATATAGTATTTTAAGTCACTAAATAAGAAGCCTCAAATGGGAACTCTTGAACAGTTCATAATCCCTGTTGTACCATCTTGAAATCATCATATCTGGGAAGCAGCAGAGGATAGTGGTAAAGGTGTCAAAATGTCATTTTCAATCCCAGCTCTTCTTCTTAGTAACTGTGTGTGATCTTGTACAAATTATTTTACCAGTTTTTGCTTCAGTTTTCTCACCTATACAATAGACAATTGTCTTATCTCAAAGAATTTTTATGAGGATCAGCAATAACTGTAAACTACTTAGCAGAGTACCTTATACAGAAAAGACTACCTGTGATTTCTTGCATTGACCACTTTCCCTTTGACAAGTGGTGCTTGGTAGCATCCAAGTGCTAACATGGGCATAAACTGATCATCTAATAGGTTTTCTCACCTGAAATAGTGGGAATAGTTGTCTGTTATTATATTCCAATCTATATTTTATTATTCACAATGGCCAAAAAAGGGAAACAATCCAAATATCCATCACCAAGTGAATGGATAAGCAGCTGTGGTATGACCCAAACTATGGAACACTGCTCAGCAATGAAAAGGAATAAACTACTTATACATGCATCAGCTTGTATGAATCTCAAAATAATGATGCCAGGTGAAAGAAATCAGACATAAAGAGTATATACTCTATAAATCCTTTTTTACAACATTCTAGAAAAGGCAAAACAATAATGCCCAAAAATGTTGTCTCTGGTCAGGTGGGGGAGGAAGGGATCTAGCTGAAGGAATGCAAGAGCACTTTAGAATGTTTCCTCTATTTTGATTGGGGTGGTGGTTCCATTACTGTATTCACCTGCCCATGTTCATCAAACCATACACTTGAAATAGGTGTTTTCTTAATATATCAATAATACCTCAATTGAAAAAACTCTGTAACTACCACTGATATCACCCAAGCAACATTTCCCAAATTTTACCTCCGTATAAGCTATTACTTGGGAATAGATTAAGCCTGAGATACCAGCAGAATACACAGGAACCAAGCAGGTCATTAAAATATGGCACTAGATTTAGAGATTTAAGTTATAGAATTGGAAATCATTTCCTTCTCTTTCGCTTCTTTTCTCTTTCCTCCCTTTTTATTTCTTTCTCTCCTTCCTTACTCAAATACATGTTGAGCACATTCTATTTGCAGCCAATACCCTAGGCACTTAAATATTATTTAGAAAGAAAACAGAATGTAAGGTTTTTACCACAGAAAGGGGCAAAGAGCAGAACCATGGTCAAAGTTTTAGGGATGAGAAGAGACAGAATGAAACCACTGGACAGGAAAGGAATGACAAGAGATGTTGGAAGGCAAGGCAGAAGAACTCACAGGTCCTGAAATAAAGTTTTCTGAATGCTGCCTTTCGAATTCGAAATCTCATTGAGAAAGGAGGAAAGGGAAACCAGTCTCCGTGGCCAAGCGTAAGAGGCATTATCTTTGGAAAAAAAATAGTATAATCCTAGAAATAGAAGGATCTGGAGGAATTACCTAGTCCAGTTCTCTCATTCTGCAGGAATTTGAACACAGTCTCTCAATTTCTCCTGTGGACTGGATTGACAGGCACACAAAAAGTATACAGTCCAGATACCAGGATGTCTGCCTCAGGAACTAACTTAGGGTGTTTCTACTAGGCGGAAACTAGCTGCTTTTCATCATATGAAATGATAAGCATTCACATTTAACTGGAAACAATGATTCCACCTCCTACCTGGTGATTTAAACGAATTTGATTTAAACTTACAGAAGCCAGTAGATGCTGGAAAGAAATTCCTGAAAGGGGGTTTCCCCCGATACCCAAAACTTCCAGAAAGAAGTAAAGAGGGGTCCTTTCTTTATACAAGATCCTGGGGACAACCTCCTAGCTTTCCTGCCTTTCCTGACCTGAAGTCTATTCTGGAGTCAGTTTTAACAGCGAACATCCCAGCACCGAGAACCTTGGCTGCCCACTATTTTCTCACACTGCACACCTTTGCAAGCGGTGTCTGTCTCAGTTTCTGCACAAAGATGACAGAAATCATCCTGCATCTCCTTTGCAGTATTAGGGTTACCTGAACAACCTTTGTTAGATAAGGACAGAGCACAGATATTTTTCTTGGGAGACAGAAGCTAAAATGACACTTAATTGTGCTTCTAATCTACCATTTGCAGAAAACAAAGACCGGTAAGCTTAAGACCATGAGGGCCTCAAAATTGGGGCAGAGGTAATTCCAATCCATTTAAGGTTTATAGAGGATACCTGGAGATGGGCAGAGTGTGTTACACAAATGTAAGATGTCTTCTTGGAGAATTGAGAGTAGGTTTGCAAACCACCAATCCAGCTCTTGAGCCCTGCACTCCTTCTGATTTGGCATGAGAAGGAATTACAGATAAATGTATCCACCACTGCCTCTGCACAACACTCACATCCCAGCCTAAACTCTGGCAAGCGTTTCCAGATTCCTCCAGCTCACCACATTTAGGAGAACATTAAAAACAGCACTGTGGATTTTAATAACTTTCGGGGTAGAGGCTCTGGACTCCCTCAGATACCCAACCACAGACCCAGGCTCTGTCCGTCTCTCCAACAACCCAGGCCACCTCCTGCTTCAAACTTAATTTTTGTTTTGTTTCTTTTTTTCCAACTCATGATTCTGAGCAGCGGCAAGACAGCCAGACAAGGTAAGAGCACTGTTTCCTCCAAAAACCAATATTTAATGTTTTCCTCTGAAAGGGGGAAATGTCAGAGGCAAAAAATACGTAAGAAATCCTCCTGCCACTTTCTCTCCCTGACCAAATGGAATGTGACCGTTTCCATGTGACCCACTCATGGACGCAGAGAATGTGGCCTTCAAATATAGACCTGCTCAAAGGGCAGGGATGGATCTGTGTTGAGCACAGCCTTTGGCATACTTGGGGTGAGCCAGAGCTATCAAATGGCGGCCACCACTCCTGAGTGACATTTAATTTGAGTAGCGTTTCTCCGGAGATGCCTCCACTCTAGTCCCAGGGCTAAACAAAGAAAGCTACACACGTGGCTGCAAGAAGCTGAGGCTCTGGTGGAAAGAGGTGTGCGAACGTCTGGGTGATCCCACCTGCAATGTTTCTGGCTCCCAAGGAAAGCCGAGCTAGGATTCTGGTAAGTTCATAAATTAACGTTAATTTACCAATTCCTGACCCTCTACCCTCACAGTCCCTGCTTCACCAGATGAAAGAAAACACACTTAAGCCGAGATGGGCCAGGGAGGGGATGGGAGGGGGAAAGAGCGTTACAGGAAAAACAAGAAAAAATACTGAAACATTTTTTCATCAGTCCCCTTTCTGTTCTGCCCCCCACGCCCACCCCCACCCCCAGGCCCTTCAAGCAGTGACTCTGACAGCCAGCTCATTACCTCTGAGCAGCTACAGTTGCAGCAGCATCTAGAGCGAAATGTCTCATCACGTTCTCCTCCAAATACTTCTGCTCCCACTTAGTCATATCGGCTTCCAGGGCCAGGATCCTCTCCTCCTTCTCACGGAGGAGCTCCATCAATGCCGTGGCATTGTATTCGGAAACATTGGTGGGCTGAGCGTTTCCCTGGCGCTGGGTGGGGAGATGTGGAGAAGCCTCAGGTTAGTGAGGGAACCGTGGTGGCCAAGTCCCATTCGTAGAGCGCCCATTCTTGGAGAGGATTACTCCCCCCGCCACTTCAGTTTGGATTCTGATTCGAAGCAGGGGAAATTTAGAACTCCTCCTAAGGCCACAGGACTGTCTACCTTGGGATCGAAGAGGAGACTCTTTTGATCAGGAAAGAAGCTTGCCATATCCCATTGTCATGCTGCTCAGAAAGTGGATCAGTGGTTGAAAAAAATCACTATCCCTGCCTGCCAGCATGGTACATAACAGAAATAGACATTAAAAATCTAGGACTGGGGCCTGACTTTGCCCCTAACTTCTTGTGTAGCCTTAAGTGAGTTTTGCAACCTTTTCTGAGTCTTGATTTTCTCCCATCTAAAATGAGGAGGGGTATGGGGCACCTGGGTGGCTTAGTTGGTGAAACGTCTGCCTTTAGCTCAGGTCATGATCCCAGAGTTCTGGGATCGAGCCCCACGTTGGACTCCCTGCTCAGTGGGGATCCTGCTTTTCCCTCTGCCTGACGCTCCCCCTGCTTGTGCGCTCTCTCTCTCTCTCTCTCTACCTCTCTGACAAATAAATAAATAAAACGTTTTCAAAAATAAAATACATAAATAAAAATGAGGAGTATGGCCAGATGATTCTAAAGACCACATTCAATTCTAAAATGTCAAGAAATCTATTGGTACAGTATCTTGACTTCTTACAAGGTCTACTGTTCATTTGAAGATAAAAGGGATAAGATAATAGGATTCTGCTGGAACAGGAAAGATAAGGATGCCGACTTCATCTTTACCATGAGGAGTCAGTCTGGAAGTAAAGATGGGCGGGACAAAAAACCAAAAAGATGAGCCAATCTTCACATCAGACACCAAATGAAACATAACCGACCAGGAACAATCTCATTTTCTTTAAGTTCTCCATACCTGCTGAATTCTGAGGGACTCCAGTTCCCTCTCCAGCCGTGTCCGGAGACGATGCTCCAACTGCTCGCGTTTTTCACATGCTGCCTGGAGCTGTACAAGGGCTTGCTGCATCTTCTCCACCTTATCTACGTACACCTGCTTCTTTTTCAGCTGAAATTCCAGGGTGGGAGAGTTGCAAGATGGAAGGAAAGAAAACAACAGGGTCAGGTATTTAGCTACCAAATCCATCCTTGTGTTTTGATCACTTTCTGTCCAGCTCCAAAAAAAGAATGAATGGTAAGAAGGTCCTTCATGAGTGCCTTGTAGTTAGCACACACAGAATGTGACGAGGAAGAGGAATTGGAAGCTCCCTTTTATTTTTGCTTCTTTCCCCCACCTCTCTGTCTTCCCCAGACCTACTTCCATCAACAAAGTCTGTCTTTGATGGCAAACTTTTAAAAATTATTAAAATAATAATCCTGATGGATTATCTGCTCTTCTTCATTCTAAACTGGAATACTCTGGGGGCAACAATATATTATTTTGGTCATTACAGTACAGAAATTCGAAAAAATAAAATGGGGGCTCTCCAGGGAGAAAACCTTAATTTGGTATGGAAAGGAAACCTACTACCCCCGCCCTTATATAGATGTCTCCTCTCCTAGTGACAGAGAAAGGGTTCTGGAGTTACAAGGAAGCCAGAATTGTCTTTTTGAAGTCTGTGGTCCTTGTAATTACTCAATATGGTTATCACTGCTCTCCCGGACAGTTTCTGCTTCCCAAAAGTGAAGCTACCATACGTTGAAGAGTTTTTAATCTCCTCATTACCTAGCACATGCCCCACTAGATATTTATTAAAAGAACACAGGTTATTTGCAATTTCTGCCTCAGTCACGAGCCTGAGTTGGTAACAGTGGACCATAATTTCTCAACTTCATTCTGGGACCTTTAAAGATATCTAAAGACTCAAAATAATGAATCGAATCTAAGAGTAAATGAGTCAAACATGATTCTTCCTCTTTCCAAGCCTATGAACCACAACTAAAAGCAAAGGGGGAAGCAGGTTGGGACTAAGAAACTGAGTTCTTTGTACCCTTGTAATTCATAAATTTAATCCTGGCTCCCCTGGAATGGCGGAATGAGGAGGATCTCAGGGCTCTTTACGGAAGGCATATACCTCCTCAGCATTTAAGAAGACAGGGTAAGGGGCGCCTGGGTGGCTCAGTGGGTTAAAGCCTCTGCCTTCAGCTCAGGTCATGATCTCAGGGTCCTGGGATCAAGCCCCGCATCGGGCTCTCTGCTCAGCGGGGAGCCTGCTTCCCCCTCTCTCTATGCCTGCCTCTCTGCCTACTTGTGATCTCTCTCCCTGTCAAATAAATAAATAAAATCTTTAAAAAAATAATTTAAATAAAAAAAATAAAATAAAATAAAAAAAGAAGACAGGGTAAATGCAGCCTTCCCAGATTGTTAGTCAATAAGGAGGTTCTGCTTTTCATCATATTTGTGGGGTGCTATCATGCTAATAAAATCAATACATGGACTCTTTCTCAAACAGAAATTCCTCCAAGCTAGTCACAGCTGTCATTATCACTTTCACGGAAGCTGAGGTTAGGGATACTTTTACTATTAAGATCCAAATAAAAATATTATTGTTAACCTTGTCAAAAGGAAATTGAAGAATTCAGCTCAACTCTAAGTTTTCAACAAATTCCCAAGACCTTGATCTACCTAGGCAGATAGTTGTAATGTGGGAAGTTACCCACCCTTCCAGCTTTGCCCACCCCCATTTAGCTGGGGCCAAGCCAGCAGAACCACCCCAACTTCCCCACTGCAGAAACCAGGTAACTTCTTAACGGTAATGAGTCCAAATCACTGCTGTCTAGAATGTCCGGTCAGACAGCAAAAGCATGTGCTGAACTGTCCTTGTCTTATAACTGTCTTCTCCTAATGTCAGAATTGCTAAACTTAATCTTGGTTGCAGAAAACCTATCTTATATTTTCCCACCAGACCTGTGGTATGCTTTGCCTAGGTGACTGAGAAAACTTAAAAAAATTGTCTTGGAGCACCTGGGTGCTCAGCGGGTTAAAGCCTCTGCCTTCAGCTGAGGTCATGATCCCAGGGTCCTGGGATCGAGCCCCGCATCGGGCTCTCTGCTCTGCGGGGAGCCTGCTTCCTCCTCTCTGCCTGCCTCTCTGCCTACTTGTCATCTCTGTCTCTCAAATAAATAAATAAAATATTTTAAAAAATTTTTCTTATAGTTTCTTGTCATTTCCTTTCATTCTAAGACCTAGTTCAATTTAGCCTTGTAAACCAGTTGAGGTGAGCTGGAAGTCTACATGCTTTTATCCAGTAGACCTTTGCCTAGGAAATAAAACAAACCGTAATCACCGTAATCTTCCTCTCAGTAAGCTAACTCTTTTCTTTCCTGGGATGGGTGACTGTAACGACACTGACTAGGGCAGTGAAGACTGTCAGGCCCCAGATGTCTCTGCCTTCCTATTTGCTAAGCTCTGAATAACTGGAGAGCAGGGAATATTCTCCATCTTCACCTTCTGGGTTCTATAATCCTCATGAGCTATTTAAAGTTGAATGCATTTATTTGTGAATCACTGAAAATCCTAAGGGAGCAGTGCAATGTTAATGCAGAGGATGTTAACTATAATTACTCAGGCTTACAGCAGTTATACTTAAAGGCAATTAAAGTGAGCATGCAGTTCTTGCCTTGATGGTAAAGTACTCTGGTATAAGCACAGAGAACTGAAAAAGAAGCAGTCCAGGGCCAGGTGGATATCTCCGTGTCTTCCCTTTCTTGAGAAAGGAAACCTTAGTATCTTAGCAAAAGCATCTCCAGCAGTCGGAGTCACTGAGCCACTGGGATGATTACATGTAAGGTACCAGGACCACTGCTGCTGGCCTAATTCTCCTCCTACCTCTTTTACAAGGATAGCTCACCCATAAATACCAGGGTCACTTAGGAAATGCTTTATCTCTAGATAACTTATGACAGAAAAGGACAACTCTAGGACGCTACCAATGCAAGACCTTATAGATTAAATCTAGTCAGCTATATTCTAAGTTATGTACTCTGTTTTCTAGATCTCATATTTATGTTTCTTTGTTTTAGAGAGGGAGGAAGAGGGGCAGAAGGAGAGTAAGAATGTTAAGCAAGCTTCACCATCAGTGAGGAGTCCAACACAAGGCTTGATCTCACAACCCTGAGATCATGACCTGAGCCAAAATCAAGAGTCGGATGTACTCAACTGACTGAGCCACCCAGGCACCCCTAGATCTCATCTATATTTTAAAAGGAAAAAGGTCTATATGGTTTATTAATTCCTTTACTACTGTTATAAGCTTCACTTTTACCTTCATCATGATAAATCCCCTTTTCTTTTCTGACTCTCTTCTGTATACTTATCTCCTGTGCGTATCTCCTCAAATGTTAGATCAGTAATTAGGACACTCTGGGTGCCCAACTTCACCTTCCAATGTCATCAGAAATGTCAGTGGTTCCTTCTTGGTAAAGAGAGAGGCCACATAGTACAATGGCTGTGGTTATGAGCTTTGGCCTCAGACTGTCTGAGTTCAGAACCTGGTTCTCCCACTCACTAGGTATGCAACCTGAGGTAAGACAATCTCTCTGAGCTTCCATTTATTCATTCATCAACAACATGGACATGATGATGATGTGCTATACCTCTATGAGAATCAAATGAAATAACACATGAAGTGCTTAGTAGATCACCCAGCACAAAAAGGACTTTTTTTTTTTAAAGAATAAGTTAATGCCAAATCACACATGCTCTAAGCCTTTCAACTTGGTACATTCATGCCAGATAGCCTTGATATGGTTTTCATTATATCAGTAACTCTCATTATCACATCAGTGTCTAATTAAGACAAACCAAACAGACAAATAACAACAGAAAGAGAAACACATTGATAAATACAGAGAACAAACTGGCGGTTGTCAAAGGGGAGAGGAGTGGGGGAATGGGCAAAATGGGTGAAGGGGATTAAGAGGTACAAACTTCCAGTTATAAAATATGTAAGTCATGGGGATGAAAAGCACGGCATAAGGAATGTAGTTAATAATACTGCAATACACTTATCATGGTGAGCATGTTATCATGTAAATAATTGTTGAATCACTGTGTTGTATACCACCAAGTAGTATATTATGTCAACTATACTTAAAAATTTAAAAAAAAGATATTAAAAATACAGGAATTTCCCCTAGGAAAACATATTAAAATTAAGCCTCAGGGCACTTGGGTGGCTTAGTCGATTAAGCATCCTATTGTTGATTTCAGCTGGGGTCATGATCTCAGGGTCATGAGATTGAGCCCCATGTTGGGCTCCACACTGGGCATGGAGCCTGATTAAGAGTCTCTCTCTCCCTCTGCTCCCCCTCCCCAAAGAACAACTAAGCCTCACACAGTTCATATGACAGAGCTTCAGGTATCTTTATAGGTCAAGGCCAGTCATTGGTGGTACAATTAGAGGTAAGCACTAAGTAGCTGCAAGGACACCATATTTTCTCCAAATGACCTCCGTTTTATGAGAAATAAATACCTTACTTATGGTCAAGGGTACTGTTCAAAGAGCCACAGGCAGAGCTCATTCCCTACCACATGCACACACACACATACACAATCAGGTATTTCTATCTGACAACAAATGAAAGGTAAAGGAACAAAGTGGCAATCAGGAGACTTGGATTCTAGTCCTAGCTCTGCTATTGATGGTAATTTGCATCCCTGTTTTCAGCCTCAGAGTCCCCATTTGTAAAAAATGAGGAAGGTTTTAGGAGTCAGCCAAGCAAACTGGTCAGCAGCAGGCCAAATCCATCCAACCCCATCTACATACACACTGGCTATAGATGCCTTCTGGCTAGAATTGCAATGCTGAGCAGGCCTATGGTCTACAAAGCAGAAACTATTTACTATCCGGTCCTTTGTAGATAAAATGCCAGGCCCTGGAGTGATTTTCAACTGTTCTGTGGAGTGCTTCAGAGGCCACTATGGTGGGTTAGTTGTATCAGATGGCTTCTCTTTTATGTGTTTTATATATATATTTATATATTATGTATGTATTTTAGGTGTTTTCTATATATATGTATTTATATATATAGGGTTCTACATAAAAGTTAACTTCCAAAAAAGATTAC